GATAAATACAGTACAGTACTGTAAATGTATTTTCTATTCCTTGTGATTTTATTTATTTATTCATTAAAAGTGATCTCTGCACCCAACATGGAGCTCGAACTCACAGCCCCGAGATTAAGAGTCGCTTGCTCTACTGACTGAGCCAGCCAGGCATCCCTTTTATGATTTTCTTAATAATGTTTTGTTTTCTCTAGCTTGCTTTACTGAAGAACGAACACAGCCTCTAATACATACAACACACAAGGCGAGTGTTAATCGACTGGTTATGTGATCCGTAAGGCTTCCAGTCACTAGGAGGCTATATGAAGTTAAGTTTTCTGGGAGTCCGAAGTGACATGTGGATTTCCGACTTGTGCGGGGTGCGGGTGGGGTTGGCGCCCCTCCCCCCTACGCTGTTCAGGGCCTACTGTATACAACCTCACAGAATTGTCAAAGTGTTACCCAAATAAAAGCCAGTCCCCCCCCTTCCCCTGCCTGGTTTACATAAACAAAATGGATTTTTAAAGCCTTACATAACATTTGTATCAAAAAGAAAAACAAGAACAAAATAGAAAATACCTGAGAGAGTCTGAAAGTGAAAATGACAAATCCAAACACATGGGATTTAGCCACATATTCCTAAAATCATGATTTTAAGTGATCATATTAATTAAAGAGTTAGAATAAACAAAATGAATCAAGTACCCATGCAAGAAGGTAGAAATACAACAAAATATAGCTTAGAAAAGCAGAAGGATGTAATGAATAAAGGTAAAAGCCTAAAATGATGGTATTTTACAACGAAAAATATAGAATTATATTTGTTTGAAAGCAAATAGGTAAGCTGTTGGTTCAACAAGATAACAAGAAGAAAGTACAAATATACCAAGTATGGAATCAAGGCAAATAGCTCCAGACACAGAGGAAAGGAAAGTTATATTAAAAGAAGACTTTGTTGAGTTTTATCAAGTATGTCAGAAAATCTGGACCAAGGAGTTAATTTGGAGGACAGTATAATTTCTTAAAATGGGCTTTAGACAAGTTATGAAATTTAAATAGACCAACTATCAGAGGAGAAATCAGAAAGAAGACCGAAGTCCTACTGTCCAAAATAGCAAGTCCACAGGGGAACCCTTAGGGCTATCGAATCCTGATGTGCTGTTCCAGGGCATAGAAAATGAAGGGAGGCTTGCTTCAAATTTTTTGTATGAGCCAGCACAGTAGTGATACCTATTAAATATATCCCAAAGAAAACTATGTCATTCTCACTTAAGATTGTCAAAGTCAAAAATCCTAAATAAAATATAGTATGGCATTAGCATCCTCATTAGTATGAGGAGAGACCCTTAGTCCTAGGGTAAGTCCATTCCCAGAGATGCGGCGATCAGCCCCAGCGAGAAGGGAAACACTCTGGCAGTAAGACAAACATGCTGAGGGCTGGAATGCTCACTCCGTTATTTTGAAGGAACCAGTCCTGGTTTGGGAGGGTTCATTTCCAGGGTTGGCTTGGAGACCCAAGTTTGTGGGGGTCAGCTTCATCTTATGATTTTTTTTTTTTTAGTTTGACAGAGAGAGAGTCAACTGTGGCATCCGAAGACTTGTCCAAAGACATTGCTGCTTCTAGGAGCCTATGGTCAACCAGGTAGCATTTCAGCCTAGCAGAAGGAAAAGCGGGTAGGAAACATGGACCAGACATATTGAAGACTGCTAGAGGTAGGTTACATAACTAGGAAGAGATGCTCAGGGCTCGAACAAGGATGTGTACAACTCTAGGGAACACACCCTTCCCAGAGGCAGGAGGATGTGCAAGGACTGGGAGGCAGTCACACTAAATTCTCAGTGGAAGGAACTTTGGTCTAGACACACAGGCAATGACTCAGCCCTGCAGGAGATTAGGATCTCATTGGAGAGAGACAAGGTAGATGTGGGGCTCTCTGCACCCCCAGTCTGTGGCAGGAGGTGGGTAGACCAGATTGTAGGAGACAGCCCTTGTCCCTGGGAGGGTGGGACGTCAGAGATCTGGTGAACAGATGAAACAGATGTGAACAGATTTATTTGTCCAGGGCCTGGGTGAATTTTGAGAAGAAAACCCAAGCTGGGCGCGTGATGGTCTGTGTACCTGTCAGGGCAGCCCACCAGCCGGCCAGCCAGCTGTTCTCTCCAGGCTCCTTCTTCTTACTCTCTCCTTTTCTTATTTGCCAGTCTGTTATTTATTTGAATGCAACTATAGGACCATGAAGCTACCATATGAATAAGCAAGCCTGTGTGATGTCTTAGTCTGTCCTCCTGTCAGAAGAGGAAGGGAGCCCTCCAGGATCTCTTTCATAAGGACATCAAGCCTGTTCATGGGGGCTCGCACTCTCATGACCTCCTCACATCCCAGGGGGCCCGCCTCCTAATAACGTCACTGAGAATAGGATTCAACATGTGAATCTCGGGAGGACACAAGCATTCCATCTATAGCACCTGGTATTTTCCAGGCTATGTTAGAAGGAGCAAACCCTGTAGAAATCATTTGGATATCACTGAAATCCCATTGAGAGCCCAGAGTGAAAACTGAGCCAGACTGTGAGCGCAGAATGAGAGTGACCTGCCGCTGGAAATGAGGGCCAGGAAATGAGGAAGCACATCTTCCCATCCCACATCCTACAAAACCAGCACCAACAAGGAACCCAAGAGAGGCAGATTTCTACAAGGAAATAGATTGTTAACGAACTATGGTTAACCAACTCTTCCGGTTGTTTGACGAGTACTAAATCCATGATCCGGAATCCGGCTCACTATTTGCTTCTACAACGGGCATTCTACTTACTCCCCTTCCCCTTAATCCTCATGTAACATGGTGGAAAATTACATTTATCAGGTAATCCCCATAAAGATGGTTTGAGAAAGAAGCAGTGAGAGTGTCTTAGCCCAAGCTGCTGTAACAAAATATCACAGACATTGATTTTTTGGTCACAATTCCAGAGCTGTAAGTCTGAGTTCAAAGTGTTAGCAGATCTGGTTGCTGGTGAAAGGGCTAGCTTGGTGGTCGGTAGGCGGCTGCCGTCTTGCTGTATGACGGAGAGAGAGCTCTGACCCCTTTCTCTTCATATAAGCATACTACTCCCATCTTGGGTGCCCCTGCCTCCTGACCTCATCTAAACCTAACTGCCTCCCAAAGACCCTACTTCCTAATAGCAACACACTGGCAGATGAGGCTTCAAAACCTGCATCTGGGGACACACCAACACGCAGTCTCTAACATAGTGAGAAAAGAACCACACTTCTCAGGGGCTCAGAAAACTTCTGGAAGCTGCCTTTTCGGGAGTGAGGGAGAAGGAGGAAGCCTGGGCTGGCTCAGCTGCTGTCTGTGTCCTCGAGTGTGGTGTGGGGTGGGTGTGGGGGCTGAAGTCCCATGGAGGTTTCCAGTAAGGAGACAGAGCCAAGAGTAACCCGGTGGTGAGAGAGGACAAGATTGTAGCCTGTTCTCTCACAGGAACCACAGAGGGGATGGGGAGTGGCGTCCATACTATAGTCTGAGAAACTGAGAATCGCCATGTAGAATATGGCAGCCGTCTGCCCTTCAAAGAAAGATACACTAACGATCTACTTTTTTTTTTCCTGGTTGAAGTTTCTAGAGGCAGGTCCACTACCCTTCCTTCCAAGGACACTTGAAAAGATGTAATTTCTGTTTCAGGATACAGAGTTTAATATATTAGATCCACTGTAATAAATTTATAATATATTAGTAATATATTACTAATTATATTACTATTACTATATACTATTACTATTTTATTAGTAATATATCACTAATATATTATCAATTTAATATTAATATATTATCAACATATATTATCATCTAATATACTGAATATTAACTATATTACTATATTAATAACCTATCTAATATTAAATTTATATATATAATTAATATGATAGACTATATTTTTAGGTCTTGTCTATCCTCTTTTACCTCCTGTGGCCTTAGTCCGGCAAAGACCACCAATTATTTCTAACTATTTATTCTTTTTATATCTCCTACAGTGTTTGCTATGAATAATGAAGTTATGATATTTGGTGCATAGATGCTCCTATTTTTTCCTCTTTGTGAATTGCAACTCTCATGATTATAAAAAAAATCTTTTGAGCAATGCTTTCTGCCCTGAAATCAGTAAGTTCGTGATCCCTGACTTCTTTATGTTTGTGTGGTCCTGGCCTTCGCTTGACTGCGGTCGTGTGTCTGTGTTTGATCACTGGAAAGGTTTGGTTCTCGTCCTGGGGTCTGTGATCATAAGGACGATGTTACCTGATGTCCTCAATCGTCCGTTTCTTTAGTGTCAGTTATCCAACTCCCTCTCATATTTCTTTCTTTTCTCCCTTTCCCTAATCCCCAGACTTTAGCTGATTATATTTCTTCTTATATGATCCTTTGTGGGAAGATGTGTATTTTGAGCCCTGTTATTTGATTTGTTAGCTCGAAATATTTTTACGCCTCCTTATGGAGGTGAAAAATCATATTTACACGAAATCCCATTTCCCGTTTGCTCCCGCTTTTTGTTGCATCGTTTTTAAGTCGTGGGGCTTCATCCCACGCACGTTCTCTCCGCGGGGTTCTCCGAGCCCCCATCCGCGGGCGACTGGCAGCAGGTGTCCCGCACCTGCCGCCCTCGGTGACCTACTCTCCGCTCTGTGCTTAGACATGTACGGCTCTGAGTGAACGCGAACAGAGGCTTGAAGGGGTTCTGGGCCCTCTCCTATCAGAAAGCAGAGGACTCCCCAGGACGCTGTGTGCAGCCTGTGGACCGTTTCTCCTCCTCACCATCGGGCGTCACTGCCGGGCTCTCCCCAGGCTGAAATTTCACAAACTCGGACCGCTGCGACCCCTTACGGCGGGAGAGAAGGAAGCCGGCGGAGGGGAGGTGCACTTCGGTCCTCCCGCCGGCAGGGGGCGCGCGGCGGAGCGGCCCGCGGCGCAGGCGCAGGCGTGCCTCTCTCCCGGCCGCACGCGCTCCCTGACCCCGCGCCGCTGCGCGCCCTGCGGACTCGGCGTAGGGGTTGGCGCCGGTTCGGGTCTTGCGGTCGCGGGCTTACGCCGAGTGCGCCCAGCCCGCCCTGTCCGCGGCGCCTCGCCCCGGTGCGCCGCCGCGGCCCATGGGGAGAGTCGGCCGGGCGGGCCGGGTAAGTGGCTCCCCCGGCGGCGTCCGGACGGGCGGCCTGGCGGGGAGCCGGGGCGGGAGCGCCTCCCCGGGCGGCGCTGGATGCGAGGCCGCGGCTTTAGGCCGCGCAGTGAGGGGGCCGAGAGGTCCCGGGCCGGATGCCCGGGAGCCGCCGAGCCCTTGGCCTCCGGAAGGCGGGCCCGCGGCCCCGGCGGCGGGCGACCCGCCGTGTTTCCCCTCGCGCTCGCCGCCGCCTCCCTTTATGTGCGTCGGGTCACCGGGCCCTGGAGCTCTCCCGGTCCTCCTGTTCTTCCCTTTCCTGTCCGGGCGTTTCCTCGCTCCGACCCGAGCACGCTGCCCTGCTGCTTTCTTCCTTTCCCCTCTCCGTCGGTCCTGTTCTGAGAAAGTTGCCCGGGGCCTCGACCCTGGGCGCCGGGCTTGTGTCACCTGTGGCCCAGCACGCTTGTGCCCGCCCCTAGCGCCCGGGGAGCGGAGAGCAGGGAAGCGGCGGGCCGGGGGACTCCGGCTGCTGACGTCTCTCTGAGACGCGGGTTCGCCTGGACGGGCGATGGGAGGCGGAGCTCCGGCGGCCTCGGCCCCTGACCTTGTGAAGGCGGTGTGGTAGCCCCGACGCTCCGGCCGCAGGCTTGGTCCTGGGACATTTGCCCTGGCCCGGACCTTGTGCGCTGAGCAGCAGACGCGGGATGAGGAAGACTGGGTTCCTACTCTCCGGGGGTTTGGGCTCTGGGGAAACAGGCGTTGAGTAAGAACCCGTGCCCGGCTTGATCCGAGGCTTCCCGGAGCGGGTAATGCTTACCGCGGAGTCTGGGAGGTGCGCACGAGCGGGGAAAGGCTCGCTGCGGAGGACAGAAGTGTAAAGGTAGCCGGGGAGGAGCACCGTAGCGCATTCTGGAAACTGCAGGTAGGGTGCTTTCGAGGAGCGGCTAGTCGGGTGGGCTCGAGAGAAGTCAGTCAAGGGCAGACGCTGAAGGCCCTTATTGCTGGAGCCAGGCCTCCGGGTGGAAAGTCGCGTGTCCTAGAGAAGGGCCGGTGAGCACTGTGTCTCCTGGCGACAGGTGGAGTTTTTAAAGGATGCACCTCAGTTTCCGCACATTTAGGGGATACAGGTCACCGCCATTTTCACCGTAACAGAGATATTTGAGGAATGGGGGGTAGTGCATTAGGAACTTAAGCAGAAGGTGCGTTTTAGAATTTTCTTAAGAGACGTGCGGCCTGCGGTACAGCTTTGAGCGAGTAGGTTGTGAGACAGGAGTATGACAGGGTGTGATGGACTGTTATCAGCGGAAAGCTGTGCGACGGGGGAGTTCTGTGATAACTAAAGATCGCCTTTATGGAAAACAAGAACTGGGGCGGGGGGTTGTTGGTGTATTCCCAGCCGTGAACGTGCAGAATGCATTTCTTTTTTCCCCGGTTTGTTTTAAGTTATCTTCAGGTAACATCCAGGGCTAGTAATCCCCTAAGGCCGACATAACAGTGGATGGTGGAGGACGGACTGTTACACACCCACATTCCAGGCGACTCTCTTGGACTTTGTTGCCAGACTCTCCAGCCTAAGAAGGGATGTAACCAGGGTGTCAGAGGTGGACATACAGGGGGAAAATGTTTTTATTCTTTAAAAAGCCGTTGGAAGTTTTACAACTGGGCAGATTTCTTTCATTGCTTATTACCTATATTTTTTGTGAACATCAACATGCACTGCCCCGTAGTCCCTTCCTTTTCCTTTCTGTCTGTACATACTTTCCCATGTTCTTTAGGCTTCATTTTTTTTTTAAAGATTTTATTTATTTATTTGACAGGCAGAGATCACAAGTAGGCAGAGAGGCAGGCAGAGAGAGGAAGGGAAGCAGGCTCCCCGCCGTGTAGAGAGCCCGATGCGGGGCTCGATCCCAGAACCCTGGGATCATGACCTGAGCCAAAGGCAGCGGCTCAACCCACTGAGCCACCCAGGCGCCCCTTTAGGCTTCATTTTTGCTGTATGTTACATGAGTATCTATTTAATGGTTTTTTTAAAAGGTCTCTTACCATGCTGCTGCTTTAGGTGCTCAGAACTCGGACTTCGACTCCGTGGTATGGTGGTGGTGGTTTTTCTCCCATTATGACGGTATGCAACTTAAAATTCAGCACACTTATGTCAATAAGTGTGTGAAATAAGTTGTGTCCTTAAAAGGTCGATCTGAAGATCTTATTGTTTGATAATGTCAGTTAAGTAGGTGCACTTGATAACATTTAGAAAATATTTACAAAGTGCTTACAGTGTTCAAAGCATGGTGTTCAGCTGGAGATACAAAGATGAAGACAAAAACAGCCCTTTTAAGGGGCTTGAGAAAGGGAAGAAACAGGCATGTCACCTAGCAGGCAGCGTAACCTATGGGAGTTGCTCCGAGTGTGTTCAGGGGAAACACGCTGAAGACGAAGAGTTTATGTGGGGGTGGCAGTCACCGAAGGCTTCAGCGATCACGTGAGAGGTGAGCTAGGTGGGCTGCTTCTGAGAGGACTCGTTCCATGTTTTTTCTCCTAGTTGCATGTTTAAAAAAATACTTTGCCAGCTTAGGTAGAATTTTATCAAGTCATCGTTCTTCTGGCAGAACTGTGTTTACTGTGTTTCTTCTTAAGGAAAAAAAAAAAAACGGCGTGTCAAGAAAGACGCGTTGATCAAAGCCTGGTGTTACCATACAAAAGTAACAGGTATTTTAAAGTTGTAAAAGTCTCGGGTCCGTGTTTGTATTTGACCCTGGCTTGAAGTGTATCCAAATGTTAGCGCTGGGTTTTATTACCTGGCACTAGAGTTCATGAAGTAAATGTGTTCTGCCCTCTAACGTCTCAGCAGTCATTAGGTTAAGTTCACGTGCGGGGCAGTCTCGTCGGTGCTTGTTACATTTCCCTGACTGCAGTGGGAAGAGTGAACGAATCAACTGCTGTATTAGACGTGCTCCAAACAGCTGAAATCACGATGTGCAACCTTTTAAGGAAATCACATTATGTAAAAGAATAGTCCGGAATCAGTGGGAATGGGATGCAGGGTACTGCCCACCCCTGGGCTGGAGAAATCACTTGAATGGGATGGGGAGGGGGTGGGCATCAGGAAGCAGATTTTGACTCTTTCGGCAGATTCAGCGGTGCTGTAGCATTACAGTAATGAAAAGCAGTCCGTGCCTGTGTGGATGGATAATGAGTGTGTCATTGCTCAGATCAGTCCAGGTCTGTGGATTTGAAGTTCTGCTCCAGCGAGAAAAGTGAAGAAAGCTCTTCCTCATTTACTGTGATTAACAGATCTGATCTGTAAGCTCTGTGTTAGCAGAAAAGCGGCAGATGCTGGGAGATGACATCAGTTTCTAATACTTGAAGTGTGTTTTTGAAAGTTTTGAGGACAGAAACGGAGGTTTAGATGAACATAAGATTCTGCTGCATAGTGATTTTCGAAGCTTGGGGAGGGAGGCAGATCAGACGGGGTTGTCAGCAGAGCACCTTTGATTTGGAAGTGGAGTCGCTGGAAGTGTGGCCCTGTGGGACCTCATTAATTCAGCCGTGAAATCTTGGCTAAATACTGGATTCTTGGGTGGAAGAACTCTGGTGGAGGAACAGATCCTCTGGACCGTTTGACTTTCTTTTCGCCCCCAAATGTGGGGAAATAATTCCATGAAAGTTTACGCTTCCTGGTAAGGAGATGTGCTGGTGTCCGTCAGCAGCCTGTCACCTCATGCCCTCTCCTCCGCTGCGGCTTCTCCCTCCTGTTCACCTAGTCTTTCGTTTGTGTGTGGTAAGTGTATGACACACACCACTTGGGATTCGAACCGTTGTAAGTGTGCGGGACTGTGGCAGTAGGTACGTACACACTGTACAGCCAGTAGCACCGTCTGTCTCCAGACCTTTTGCCTGTCTCTAGCTTTCTAGTGGGACCTCGGGCCTTGTGTCACTTCACTGCTGATTCACGCGGCTGCACAGACTTGACTTAATTACTAGTGTCTCAGCAAATGTTTGTTTATTGAATTCCTACCCTGTGCCAGAAATCGGAGATGCAGAAATGGATAAGCTAATCTTTTCCCTTCATAGTTCAGTGGGTATTTGGTTAACCTATTTCCGTTGGCACAAACATATTTGTAAATACCGTTTTTGATGAGGTTCTGAAGTTTTTTATGAAGAAGTGCAGGAAGAAGTAGAGTTTGGGTTGCAAACCAAGTTTGGTAATTTATCTTTGTTTGAAATTTCCCTGAAAGCTTCGTCGTTTATATTTGTTTCCCAGGATGTGTTTGTCTTCCCTCGCCTTTATGAAAATAAAGAGAAAACAAATGAACCCACAGTTTAACTAGGCTTTGGTTTAGTGACTATTTGGATGAAGAGAGCCCAGACCGGTAGAGAGGTTGGATGAAAGGTGCATGTCGCTCTTGAAGTAGTTGGAGAACCACAGGAGCAAGCTGGACATTCAGCGTTGTTTTTCTTTGCTTTGCTCAGAGTTCTTCAGATGAAATGTAAGTGTAAGGATATTAATTTAGATAAGAGCGATTCGTTCCGAATACCGTGTGGGCTCTGCGGAAGGTGCAAGAAAGCCTCTGAAGTTCTCTGGTGCAGTGCGCTTCTGCGCGCTCGTGTTGGCCAGAAGTTCCTGGAAGGATGGCTCGGAAGGGGTTTGCAACTAGAGCCCTACCTGTGCAGTGGCCCGCCTCCCTTTTCAGCTCTGTGTGGGTCAGACGTGTCGTGGTCTGGGGAGGGAGCAGCGGACTGAGCAGACTGGATCCGGGTGTTCGTGGGCTGTACCAGAGTGTGGATTAGAACGGGTTCTGAAGTGGCCGCCAGGGGCTTCCCTTGCTGTTTCTCTGTCGCCTCAGTGACTTCGGCTTACCCAGGCTCCTGAGTAAAACGCTCACTCTGTCTGGCACTGCAGGCAGCGGGCATTTATTTCCCTGTTAGAGACGCTGTCTAGGAAATTCTTTGTTCGTGCCGTCAGCCGAGCGGGTAGTTGTCACGGAGGCCTGCTGAGGACAACGCGCAAGCTCGCCGCGGATTGCGGGTGACTCGTTAGAGCAGCAGCGGCCGCCAGCGCCCTGGGCTCTCCTTTATCCCCGTTTCTGGACTGCCTGGGGGGCCTTTCATCAGACCTCAAACCTGAGAGCTTGCAGGTAGTCTGAGGGTGGAATATTAAGGGAGAGAAGAAACCGAAAAGCGGCAGCCGTAGCCTGGGCCCTGACTTCCAGGTCAAGAGCTGCTCTGCTCAGACCCAGACCGGCCCCTCGCGGGGGTGGCGGGGGCTCATGTTGGTCGCCGCCCCACACAGAGTGGGACCAGGTTTGGCCCGGATGTTGCGGTGGCAGGGTCCTGGAGGACGGAGAAGTGTAACGTGCCGGAGAGAAGTTTTTGCCCTGAGTCAGACACAACTGGGGAGGATGAAATACTTGCCTTCTCGTCTGTATTACCCGCTCTTTCTGCGAGACGGACACAGGCGAAACAGGATTTGTTTTAACGCAGTTTCTATGGCAAAATGCTGTCTGGACCTGGGAACTGACAAGAGTTTTTGGAATGTGTCCATAAATCAGAAAGTACCCATGCTGAAAATTGTGCAATTTCGGGATTTCCGTGAAGTTTTTTTTCTCTTTCCATCTGTGAGAAAGAGATTGATTTTTTTTTCTTTTTTTTAAATTTTGGGAAGTGGTCTCTGTTGTGGTTTCACGCAGAACATTGAGTTTTTTAAAAAGGTGACAGTAAGGATTCAGGTTGTGCTGTTCCCATGACTCGGGTTGAAATGGGTCTTCCCACCGTGACCTTGGGCAGATTTATCGCGCGGAGTCCCAGTTCTGTAGGAGGCTGGGCTTTGATGCTGCCATCTAGTAGGCTTCTCCAGTAAGGCTGCCTGAGTGGGAACTCGGGCTTTTTCTGTTGTTGTCAGCGAGGATATTATGTATTGATCACTTACTGTAGATTATTGATTATCCTAGTAATCAGTGTTCTCAGAGATTATAAACTTCAACTTGGTGGAATACGAGGAAGTCAGGCTGTTCATGATCTGCTCTCTGCTCTCCTCAGTAATCATTCGGGATTTATGAAAATACAGCATCCGTGATGTCACATCATGTCATTTCTGTTTTTCTTTAAATTTCTAGGCATATGTTTAGGTTTCTTCTTTATAAAACACAGCTAATAGTGCTAAGTCAACCTGGTAGTGCACTGTTGTACATTTTCTCCTTTTTGTTGAGACAAAAAATAACTTTTAAAAATTGGATACATATGGGGCGCCTGGGTGGCTCAGTGGGTTAAAGCCTCTGCCTTCGGCTCAGGTCATGATCCCAGGGTCCTGGGATCGAGCCCCGCATCGGGCTCTCTGCTCAGCGGGAAGCCTGCTTCCCTTCCTCTCTCTCTGCCTGCCTCTCTGCCTACTGTGATCTCTCTCTGTCAAATAAATAAATAAAATCTTTAAAAAAAAATTGGATACATATAATTGACAACATGTAATTATTAATAATCGCTATATGCAATAGTGCAGCATGATTTCACTCGTGAGTTACTTGATCCTGCAAGTTTATTTGTAAACTAACACGCGGATCCGGCAGTAGAAGGGGCAGTGGTTGGCAGCATCGACGTCTTGGCTCCTGTTGCTGAAGCGCTGAAGCTTCCTGGACAAGGTGTTCTCGCCCGGTACCCTTCACCTTTAAAATTCCATGATACTGAGTTATTTTAACTTGGAAAGATGTGACATCTTTCCTGTATTTTGCATTCTTTAAACCTCATCTCCCTTGCCTTTCAGCATTAAACTGGAAAGATGTCCCTGTACGATGACCTGGGAGTGGAGACCAGTGATTCAAAAACGGAAGGCTGGTCCAAAAACTTCAAACTTCTGCAGTCCCAGCTTCAGGTCAAGAAGGCAGCGCTGACGCAGGCCAAGGTAAGATGCCCCCCCACCGTGGGAGCAAGATCTACAAAGCACGCTCCTCCTCAGGAGCACGGGTACTTCGGTTTCTCCTCTGCCTGTGTTTCAAATGCGGAGGGCAAACGTGTCTGCGGGGAGAGGCCCTGGGCGCGGAGAAGTACGGAGTTTAAGGGATTGTGCTTCTCCAGTCCTGGGAATAGAACCGTTTCAGGGAATCAGAATGAAGGAAAAAGCAGGACTGTTTCCAGCAATGACACTGGTTTTTAGGCTTCAGTCCGTATGTCTGAGGTTGGCCGAAAATGTGGTTGAAATGTTGCTTCATTAGCTGTGTTCCTGGGTCCGGGCCTAGGAGTCTGCTGTTGGTGTAGGTGGCGTGAAGGTGGCACATGGAGGAGTGAGGCTGTGCAGGAATTCATAGTCTGTTTGCCTTAGTGCCGGCTCAGACTGGTCTGGATGTGTCGGGCATATGTACACTGGGAGGAATTGGCTTGTTCCTGTTGTATACGTGGTGGGCACTGGTGACAGCTTTGAAACTGAATGACATACAAGGCGTTCCGAACACAGTTATCCACTGAGTACTACACTCGTAGGAACGAGAATGGTATCTGATTTGCTTGTTTCTTAAGGCCCTTGTTTTAGAGCGTATAACCCCAGTGGAGGCTCTATGCCCCTGAAGGGGGTGAATATTGTCCTAATGGGGTGAACACTGCTCTTTCTATGTGTGGAGCACAGACACACATCAGGTACGTGAACAGATACATAGTACATCTGTGGTGAGGTTTTATGGGCAGGGAAGAAGGTATTAAAAAGCTTCTTGAGGGCACCTGGGTGGCTCAGTTGGTTAAGCGACTGCCTTCAGCTCAGGTCATGATCCTGGAGTCCCGGGATCGAGTCCCACATCAGGCTCCCAGCTCCACAGGGAGTCTGCTTCTCCCTCTGACCTTCTCCTCGCTCATGCTTTCTCTCACTGTCTCCCTCTCTCTCTCTCAAATAAATAAATATTAAAAAAAAAAAAAGTTTCTTGAGGGGAAAGCAATAATGAAACAAGAAGTTAAGAAAACCTGCCTTAGAGATCTATTGAAATATTTACTGATAAAATGTTTGAATTTGGGGCTTCTGGGTGGCTCAGTTGGTTTAGCGACTGCCTTTATCTCAGGAGGATTGAGTCCCGCCTCCGGCTCCCTGCTCAGCAGGCAGTCTGCTTCTCCTGCTGACCCTCTCCCCTCTCATTCTCTCACTCTCTCAAGTAAAGAAATAAAATCTTAAAAAAAAAAAAAAAAAAAAGTTTCAATTTAGGGGACTTGCTTTAAATTAATCCACTATGGGGCCGGGAAGGTGAGGAGTCACCCAGAATGCAGTAGCTGGTGTCGCTGGGTCAGAGAGATTTAAGGATTCATGAGCCTTTTCTCTTTACATTTTGTGTTTGGAATTTTACATCATAAACGTTTTCTTAAGGTTCTGGAATTATTTTTCTTTTCCTTTACCACCTCCTCAGTCGGTGCTCGTATTGAAGTGCTCTTGTGAGTGCTTAGCGCTATGGAAGGTTTTTAGGATCAGGATACCCACAGGTAAAGCAACAGTGTCTGAAAATTTTAGTTTGTTTTGTCAGCTCTCGTGATGAGGGTTTTTGTCTTTTTCATCTTCATCATGACGAGATGCACTTTTTTTTATGTCAGTATTTTTAAAGAGACAGAATTTTGTTGTTTTAAACTTTCACCCTATGTGAAGGGAAGATTAGCAAAGGAAGTCTTATTTTTCCCTTTAATTTTTTTAAATTGGTAAGTTTTTTAAATCTTTCTGAATTTCATGTAATTTTTACTCTGCACACGAGATCTAGGAATAAGGTTTTATACCGTTTCATGTATCATTCTTCAAGGCCTGATACTCCCTTTTGTGAGATGGCACTGGATGTAAGGAGCAGTGTCACACTTAAGGACGTAAATTCAGTTAGACTGAGTGGATGTAACTAGTGAACAGTCTTAGGTCAATGGGGAATAACAAAGCAGAAGAGAAGTCAGACTGTACTGGGTGTACACAGATTAAAAACCGGGCTAATTCTTTAACTACCAGTGTAAATATTGTCAGCTTCAGAGATCACTTGCAGCCAAATTTTAAAAATCTAACCAGTTTGTTTTCTCCTGCCCAGTGTAACTTCAGGATCACTTCTTTCTCCAGTCAGAGCATGTTTACACCCTGTAGGTTAAAAACTAGCTTATATAAAATACAGTTCAGAAAATAGATCCTTTCAAGAAATGTACTAAAAAATTTAATGAAATTTATTCATCACATACCGATTTTTGTGTGCTATTACTTCACTCACGTGAAAAAGTGTGAGATGCTGAGAAGCAGGAGTCTAGACTCGGACATCCTATGTAGCATCTGCCTCAGTTTAATTTGCGCCTGCCAGGTTTTCCCTTCTCCAGTAGAGTGACGTTAGCTACGAGGTTGTCTCTTGAGCTTTCAGATGGGTTTTGAAAAGATAGGTCAGAATAAAAACTGGCCTGTGAAATCATTTCTGCTAACTTTCTTACATCTTTTTGAGATTGCTGTGTGAAGTTAGTATTTTTTTTGTTCTTGAAGGGAAGTTAAGGTACGTTGCATTGATTCTCATAGCTTTAATTGACTAATAAATTACTCAGTACTAGGTTGGCTTAACCAAACCTGTAAAGATGTTTGGTGGAGAAAATTTTACATAAAACCGAAAGATGGAGCTGTGCTCTCATCTGTGGGATGATAGAAGAGTACATGGTTCTGATCATCTCCCTCATTGTCCTCTCAACTATGGTATTTCATTGGTGGATTTTGTGTTTAATGATTGGATTAAGCTTGTTTCCTTAACATTATAAGCACTGGTAAATTCAAGAGGGATGGTGGTTTAGTTTGAGCCTTTTGTAGTAATAACAGTGAAAACCTATAACCCTTTAAATTGCACAGGGGGGTCGAAGCTTCGTAAGCACAAGACCAGATGGTCACTGCCCTTGCCCATCTGAGGTTCGCGCTGCTTCCGGACAGCCCGACCCCACGGGCTGCAGCGCTGGGGCCAAACGGAGCCCAGCACCGCACCTGGGAGGCACTCGGTTTTCCGGAATTATAGGGCGTAGAGAAGTAAGTGAAACTAGACCACCAGGAAGTTATCAGACTGGTCTAGAACATGCGGCATTTTACAGGGGCCGGAAAAAGAGGAGACAGAGGCTCTGCGCTGGGAAAGGAATCTTTTCTAAATTGAGAGATTTAACAATCAAATGAGTTGTGGAACTTTGGTGTGATTTTGGTTCAAAATAAAATCAGCTATTTAAGTGTCATTTTAGGGGACAGTTTAGAAAACCTGAGTGTAAATTGGATGGGAAATGGTACAGGGGATTATTGATTTTACTAGGTGTGGTGGTAGTACTGTGCTTACATAAAAGAAAGTCTGTAGTTTGGGGAGGTTAAGGGAAAGTGTTGTGAGTCTCCAACTTCCTTTCAGATGGTTTAGTGCAAGATACCGTGTACGGTGAAGAAAATGTGGAAACGTGGGAACAGTGGCTGCTGGGACATGAAGGAGGATTGTTCTCTTTTTAAAGTTTTTTCTGTGGGTTCGTAATAAAAGAGGTAGGAGTTTAGATTCAACTGGGAAGGGAAAACTCCTAATCCGAAAGTATCTTTTGCTGAGGATGTACAGACACACCTGTTCGTGGTGAAAGACACCCACCACTCCGAGTGTGTTGTGCCGTTACAGACTTGCCCTCCTGTGCTCAGAGGGAAAATCAGCATTAGAGCTTTTCTCGTATATTATATATATGCAAATTTAAATAAAAGAAACCAAGCTTACTGTAAACCTTTTATAAAAATAGAGGAAATTTGTGTTGTTAAAAAAACGCTACAGTAATTGGTATGTGGTAATGGTAATAACTGAATTAAAAGGCTGTTGTTTTAAGATTGCTTTTCTCATATCTGGAGAAGGCTTGTTACAGAGACCACGAAGCTTTATTACAAACAGTATGAGTTTTAGTTTGAAGGTTCAGTGTCCTTTTGTTTTCCATGATTTTAGAGCCAGAGAACGAAACAGAGTACAGTACTCGCCCCAGTTATCGACCTAAAGCGAGGTGGCTCTTCAGACGACCGGCAGATCGTGGATACCCCCCCACACGTCGCAGCTGGCCTGAAGGTGAGCCCTAACCCCCCCCCCCCACCCTCCAGTGGGCTCTCCTGTTTCACCTGCGTGTCCTCAGAGCACGGTCCCCCTCAGTGGGTCTTTGTAGGCTAGCCAGTGTCCTTTCCAACTGAATTTTAAAAATTAGTATTGAATGTAAAATAGTGCATCATAGAAAAATCAGAAACTGGAGAGATGCAGAAAGGAAAACAGTAGGACTTCACTCCTACCCTCTAGAAGTTAAAACGTTTATGTTTTGGAATAGCTTTCCATTCTCTGCCTCCTCTATCTACTGTTCTCTGACTTGATTTTCTCACTCTATTTATGGTGACCGTCTGTGTTAAAAAGTACAGGACTGTATGATCATTTTAATGGATTCAGTGTACTTCCTCAGATGGGTATACTATAATTTATTTAGTTCACTTAAAGCTGGATATATGGGTTGTTTCTAATTTCTGCTATCAAAAAGGAATGTTAGTGCTTATCGTCTTATCATGGATGAAAATAGAGAAAAGGTTGAAATTCTGTCAACCGAACCTTGATTACCTTCAGCGATTTTACATCATCTTGAAAACAAAGAAACAGACATCATCAGCTCTGTAAACGGGTTAGTGAGGATGGGGAGGATCTGGACAAAGATATCAGAGAACATAGTTCAGATGACACAGAATGGGGGGTAAGTGAATTCAGCGTAGACTGTGGTTAAAATCACGCCCACCGTCAGGGAACTTCCATCCTTCCGCAGGTGGCAGTCAAGCAGTGTGACTGCAGGAGTGTGATGAGACTGTGCGCACAAATGGCTTAATGAAAAATGACCAAAAGGTTAATAAATAGGATATGCTATTATTGCTCTTTCTAGCAAGATCCTCTTCTCACCCCGTACCCCCACACCCATTAGAAAGAACGCAAATGAATCTGAGACACAGTCCCAATTGCATGACCCCTCCTTCCTGTATTTAGTTTTAGTCCAGACTGTTCTGGGTTTGAATCTGCTCCCCTCATTTGCCTTTATCCTGAGCCTTCTGGGCCAGAAGAATGGGTGTTGGTCCTGCAGGCTGATCGTCTGTCGAGGAGGAAAGGGATCCCTCAGTGGAGATGTTTCTGGGGATTCTTCGTCAGTCAGCATTTTTACCCCACAGATTATCTACCTAATTTTCCCTGACTGCATCTCATCAGAAACTGGTTCACTGTCTTTTGTTAACTGTGTCTAGATTCTGTGATATCCCCACAGCATACGAGTGTTTTAGTTTCTCCAGCGTTGGGGTGTTAACGTTTAAATTTTTAAAAATTGGACTGATTTGGGGGCACCTGGGTGGCTCAGTGGGTTAAAGCCTCTGCCTTCTGCTCAGGTCATGATCCCAGGGTCCTGGGATCGAGCCCCACGTCACACTCTCTGCTCAACGGGGACCTTGCTTCCTCCTCTCTCTCTGCCTGCTTCTCTGCCTACTTGTGATCTCTGTCTGCCAAATAAATAAATAAAATCTTTTAAAAAAAAAAAATTGGACAGATCACTTTACTCTTGATAGCATTTCGAGATGATGGCTCATTTCCACTCAGCAGGATTTATACAGTAAAAGTTGTTTACTTTCAGATTTTGAAATGACAGAGAATTAACCTTGATGTTGACAATTAGTTTTGTCTGAAACTCTGTGGTGATAGTATTATATAAATTGAATAGTTAATTGTTAGTTTCTGTCCTGTCTGAATAATAACTGAAAGGAAATCTTGTTCATGTGCCTCTGTGTTTTTTAAAATGTCTTTTATATGAATGCATATTCGTAACTACGCTTTGGGAACCTTTCCTTAAATAGATTTGTGTAACCTTTCCACTGTTCAGGCCTGAAGCTGATTATAGCTGTTTTTCTCATATACTCATAGGACATCATGGTTCCTGATATTTAGTTCTAAGGAAGCATTGAAATGCGTGTTTTACAATACAAAACATCAGATGGAACCGTGTAATGCAGGAATGATGGGATTTAGATCCATTGATGGTGGACATAAGCTCTTTGTATCACATCAGTCTTGTGTTCAAATACATTTTACGAACAACTGTCCTGCCTTTGTGAGTGTGGGCAGTGTCCTTCCTGCAGGCGGTACAGGGTGAGCCCTCAGAGACCTTAGTCCCAGCTTGTGCTTGCGCAGGGTGTCTGTGGAGACCAATTAAGGCATCTCATTCTCACAGATAACTGAGGAGGAGTTATGCTAAGAAAACTAACATGAAAGTGTGGAGGTTTAGGTCCCCGTTTTCAGGTCAGCTGTGCTCTGTCTACCTTTTGTTTTTCTGATTTCTTTAAGGCTACCTTTTTTCTCTCAAAGAGTAGCCTCAGTTTCTAAATATACAGAAAAATGCAAAATGATCTTAGCGGACCCTAAGAGAATGAATGATGAAGGGAATTCTGTCTACCTGTGCCAGACTCAGTTCCTGAAATGCAGCGCACGTGGAAAGGGATGTGTATTCCAAAGGGCTTCAGAAAGCCTTTCTGCCTTTTATTGCGAATTCTGAATATATCATGTTTCCATGTAAGCAGAATCTAAAATTAGTCTGTTAAATGACCACAGGAATGATTGTTATTCATGGATTATTTATTTAAGTTTTCAGAGAGACATATTAAAATAAAAATATTCATTGTTTATTATAAAGAGTCAAATGTATTGCTTGAAATTTTAGATGGTGGCAGCTTGTTTAGGAATTGCAACAAGATGCCCTAAGGTATTTATGGAATTAATACTAAACTGAGCAGGGAACTCTTGGTTCAGCTGCTACATAGCTACCTACTGTGTGGCCGTGTCAGGTCACTAACCCTCCTTGGGCTTCTGTTTCCTTGTCTATAAAACAAAGGAGGCAGATGGGTGGTCTGCAAAGCCCCTCCTAATGCTCATATTCTTTGACTGTGAATAAAATTCTAAAACATGAGGATGATACATGGTCTGGCATTTTTACCTTCCTCAGGATCCTGTTCCCAGTGGATTTTCTGCAGGAGAAGTTTTGATTCCTTTAGCTGATGAATATGATCCCATGTTTCCTAATGATTATGAGAAAGTAGTGAAACGCCAAAGAGAGGAACGACAGAGACAGCGGGAGCTGGAAAGACAAAAAGAAATAGAAGAGAGAGAAAAGTAAGGCTCTGTTTGGATTCGAGGATTTTTTACATTGAAGTATCATTGTGCTATTAATGAGTGAACCTTTGTTCTGCCTGTAAGGCTGAAGTTAGTTTTCCTGGTTGCTCTAAGCAGTCATCAGAAGGAATCAGTCTGTTTTTAAGATTTTGTACAAGCATACCTCATTTTATTGTGCTTTGCAGAGGTAGTATTTTTTACAAATTAAAAGTTTGTGGTGGACACCTGGGTGGCTCATTTGGTTGAACATCCGACTCTTGCTTTTGGCTCAGGTTCTGATCTCAGGGTCCTGAGCGGGCGCCCTGCCTCCTGCTGCACGCTCAGCACGGAGCCTGCTTGAGGTTCTCCCACTCCCCTTCCTGTTCCCCCGCCAATAAATCGATCTTTAAAATGGCAGCTCTGTAGGAGCCAATCCATCAGCACCGTTTTCTTTCTCTTTCTTTTTTAAAGATGACGTATTTGAGAGGGAGAGTGCGTGTGGAAGTGGGCGGAGGGGCAGAGGGAGAGGAGGCTCAAGCAGTCTGTGCCGAGCGTGGAGCCTGACATCGGGCTCCGTCTCCTGACGGTGAGAGCGGGAGCTGGATTCTCCCCTGACTCAGCCCCCCAGGTGTCCCTCAGGGCCATTTTTCTAAGAGCATTTGCTCTCCTCATGTCTCTATTACTTGGTAATTCTCACAGTATTTCAGACTTTTCCACTATTCGATTGGTTATGGTGATAGGATCAGTGATTATGACTTGCTGAAAACTCAGAGGGTGGTTGGCCTTTTTTAGCAATATTTTTAATTAAGGGATATACTTTTTTTTTTTAAGGCTTAGTGCTGTTACACACTTAACAGACTCCAGGATAGTGGAAACATAACTTTTCTATGCACTGGGAAACCAAAAACTCTGATTCCCTTTGTTACAATATCGGCCTTACTGTGGTGGTCTGGAGCCAAACCAGCAGTATCGCCAAAGTGCGCCTGCCCTTACGTTCCAGTGTGAAAGCAAACGCTAGAGCAGACTTCACGTCCAGATGCAGAAAACTTGGAAGTAAACATTCTAGGTGAATTGTTAAAAAAGTAACTTAGAAATCTGGAGTTGAATAATTGGACATTTTTCCTGTTCTTCTAGAATCAACTATTTAAAATACTTGAAACATTATGGGCACCTGGCTGGCTGAGTTAGTAGAGCGTGTGATTCTTGGTCTCAGGGTCATGAGTTCAAGCCCCATGTTGGGCAGTAGAGCTTAATTTAAAAGATAAAATACTTAAAATGTTTCTTAAGTTTAACTAATTTTGAGCCAGATGGAATTTTGAAAAGCCTATATACATCTTTTATTTATATTTTTTAAAGGTATGGGTAAAAAGGCTTTATTTGTAGTTCTTATTTTATAAATATTGAATGTTAATTATATTACCTTTGTTGATACGCGTTAAATCCAAAGAGGTAAACATCAAGGAAACTTTTCTCTTGCTACTTACATCCATGTGTCTGTTAAATTTGTTCAGTTTAATCTTTTGGATTTTTCTCACTTTGCTCACTTCTACGAAATTTAGTCTTCAGCCAGTTATTTGCACATGTGCCTCCTTCCCAACCCCCTAAATTAATAGTTTAGCGGGAGAGAGAGGGCTGGAGTATTTTCTAGCCAAGAGCAAGTCAAGGTGACATCCTTGGGTTCACATCTCTGAATTGGTTCCTCTGTAATGAATATTTGGTGCCTTTGTTATCGCAGGAGGCGTAAGGACAGACATGAAGCTAGTGGGTTTTCGAGGCGACCAGATCCAGATTCTGATGAAGATGAAGATTATGAGCGAGAGAGGCGGAAAAGAAGTAAGGCGTGAAACGTACATGTCGCGTTTCAAACATGGTGACATTCTGCTGTTTGCTTTTCATGGTCAACTTGGTAAATAGTTCAGCTGACATCGATTTGGGTAATTTCCTCTCTGGAATCCCAGCAGTCCTTGTTTTCCTAACAGTTTTAACCTACATCCGGTTTTCACTTTGTGCTTTGAGATCACTTTCTCACGTGTGTTGCTTGGAGATCTTGGGGATACCTTAAGTACATGCCAGTTTCCTTACCCACAGCAGCATCACACAGACCTCTTCTCTGTCGCCAGCCGTGTATCTCTTCAGCATGAACAGAGAGTCAAGGCACTCGTTTCCACAGTTTTTGCCACTAACATGCATGAATCTAAGGAAATCCCTTAACCTCCCTGGACGTTTGTTTCTTTCAGGGTCTGTGGAGAGCAGGGCGACAAGAATTTGAGCCAGGCACTTCATACGGCCCCTTCCATCTAAAACTTCACAGGCAGAATTGTCCTTGTGTTAGAGCTGAGTTCTTCGTGATCTCTAGATAGCTAAGTAGTGCTCATTCTTGAGAGAATGGATTGCTTCTAACATTAACTTCATTGTGTTTTAATTGCTGGGAATTCCTTGGTTTAGTTGACCAGTTTGGTGGACAGGTTGAGATTTATTTAAGTGAGGAATGTAAGTCTTCTGCTTGTCTACGGGATACCGGGTACTGGTCGAATAAGCACCTTCATAGATGACCTGCTTCATCACACAGCTCCTGGAGCTGTGATTATCCCCGTTTTGAAGGTGAGGAATCCAGGGCACAGAGGGAATTACTGCTGTTTAAATACAGGTCCGCTGTTCAGCTTATCCAAGGTCTTCATGTGCCTGAAAACCCACGTGGTCATCTTCAACATGGGACCTAAGAGTCATGTTACCGTAAAGTTGCGGCATATGTCCGTGTACATGAACGTGCTCGTATGACTAGTGGTTTGGCAAGCCTGGTCTTCCACAGGGTGCAGCCAATGCTGCGTTAGGGTTTAATGTAAAATTTAAGATACTGATTGAGTTGGAAAGGAACAAGTCTGTAGTAATTTAGAATTTTTAATCTTTCAGTGCAGACATGAATTTAATGTATTTATAGGAGGCTTACTATATGCAACCACAAAAAACCAAGTTCAGAGATATAGAGAGAACAGATGGGCAGTTGCTAGAGATGGAGGTGGGAGGTAGGCAAAATGGGTAAAGGAGATGAACAGGTACAAGCTTCCAGTTATAAAATAAATCATGAGGATGTAACGTACAACATGGTTGTAGTTAATAAAACTATATTGCGTGTTTCAGAGTTGTTAAGAGAGTAGATCTTAAAAGCCCTCATTATAAGAAAAAACATTTGTGACCGCGTATGATCAGTGTTAACTACACTTACTGTGGTCGCAGTGTACACAAACAGTAAGTCGTTATGTTGTACACCTGAAACAGGCCATATGTCAGTTATACCTCAATTTAAAAAAAAAAAACACATGCTGAGCACAGTCAGGTGCTATGTTGTCTTCCTAATGGAGAGGAGAGTTAACACTTGAGTGCGCTCTGTATGTCAGGCATTGTGTTAAACATTCCATATCCATTATCTTACCAACTAACAAATGTTAATTGACTTGTTTTAGAAGCCAGTGTATAGGTTGAATGTTTGTCTTAACCTTGCCAGCGTACAGATTGGCTGCCCTTTGGATAAGGAGCTGTGTTTTCTATATTAAGGACATTGTTTTTTTAATATTCACAGGAGCCATATAGTCTAGTATTAGGAAAATAATGGCATTATAGCTGTTCTGCATGCTGCTGTTAACAGAGCGATATTCACATTTTAACCAGATTCATGGCAGATTTCCAGTACTCACCTGCATTTTTTATACTGAACTCAGAGCTGATTTTTTTTCAGTATCAGTCAGCCATCACCTGGGTCTTAGTGACAAGGTGAAAAAGAAACGATACGAGGTATTTCAGAAAGAACATGTTTTATTCAGGTTCCTGTTTTTTCATAAGTGTGTTGTCTAGTCCGGCCACGTTCTCCGTGCCGCACGTATGCCGGCTTTAGAGGAGCTGCTTTTGTGAAACCTTACATAACGCTGGTGCCGCATGGTTTGTAATCAGTTCTTTTAAATTGACATTTTATTGTTTTGATCGTTTCACTGGCTACTAAGTTGTAATACGCATGTTAGGGTTTGTATTGAATGAAAAATTCTTAGGTCCTCCATGCGTGTTCTCCAGTTGCTGGGTGGCAAGTGGGGTCTGTTTTGGTGGTTGTGTCGTCACTGTCCAGGAAACAGGAGCAGGAATGGCGACAGCCCAGGAGCCAGAAGCACCCACCTTTCCAAACAGGTGTTCAGCTGCAGTGGTTGACGCCCTGGAAGGAAGTGGGCGGGCTCGTGGGCTGGGTCGTGCGCGAGAGCATTGGTGCCACGGGCAACTGGGTTTTATTCTGTCTTTGCCTGTTATTCCTCCGAAGGAGTAAGGTCTATTAAACCTAAAGGAGATAACACCTGTGAAAACAGCTCACAGGCAGCAGACTCTCAGGAGGGTTGTGTTACTGGTTCCTAAGTAACTGCTCCTTCTCTGGGCTGTGTCCTTTTACCTTGTGTTGACTCATTAACTGTATTCTGGGGCTCTTGAATGCCTGCTGTGAAAAATATAATTTTGTCTGCCTCTGTTTTGCCCATTTTCTGTGTTTTTAATCCCAGACTCAGAGATGAACTCGTAAATGTTAGCAGGAGGGACGAGGTGGCTGGTGTCCACTCCCCCGCCCCCCAGAAGGGATGTGGTACAGCACGGGGTGTGAGGCACCCGAGGGTCTCCTCCTCTAACGGTGGCTTCATTCGTGTCTTGCAGGTATGGGCGGAGCTGCCATTGCGCCACCCACTTCTCTGGTAGAGAAGGACAAAGAGTGTACGTACCTGTTTCTTGTCCTTTGTTATTCGGACCCACATCTGGGGCCTGGTCAGGGGAAGTCTTAGCTGGAAGCAGCCAGCTGTTCTGCACGTAAAGGGTAATGGCCTGAAAACCCATCCTCTGGCCCCAACACGGAGGCCAAGGGGGCGACCGCCCTTCACTCCTGTGCTTTAGAAGTTTTCACGCCAGGCTGAGGCTTGTGTTTTATGCAGTGAAGTGCTTTGCTTTTCAGTAATTTATTTTATTTTCTCTAACATCTCATAGTTGGAGTCGGCTTAGAACTAATGTAGCTCAGTTTACGGTTTTCATACTCTTGGGGTTTGGAGGCTGCTAAATGCATGACCTTCCACAAGGTGGCAGTGCCTTCCTCGGTTAGATTTTTTTGTAGTTCGGTTTCCTTACTTGTGTTGTCTGTATTTACTTAGATTGCCAAAACATGTTCACTGCTGTTTCTTCTCCCGGTGATCTATTCTAGAATATTTGGGTTGGAATTGAACTTTGATACAGCATCTAGATCATTTTTGTATCTTTTGGATTGGACTACACCTAAACTATCCCAAGAAAATACAGTCATCCTAGTGCTTTTTTTTTTTTTTTTTAAGATATTATATATTTATTTGACAGAGATCACAGGTAGGCAGAGAGGCAGGCAGAGGGGGGAAGGGGACAGGCTCCCCGCTGAGTAGAGAGCCTGATGCGGGGCTCCGTCCCAGGACCTTGAGATCATGACCTAACCCGAAGGTAGAGGCTTTAACCCACTGAGCCACCCAGGCGCCCAGTCCTAGTGCTTTTTAATACCTGTTGCCCAATTTATGTTATCTTTTTAAAGAAGATAATTCAAAAGATATAGTTAAATACCTTTTATGTGAAAACACCTGACAAACCATAAGCCCCAATAGAATCCTAGTCTGTGGGAATAGAACCCAAGCATCTAGGTCTTTTTAAATGCCTCCCTGTTCAGTGCTCTGGCATTGTGGTCCCTAATCACAAAGACCCTCATTTACTAGGCTAACGAGGTAGTAAGAGTAGAATCTTAAGACCGGTACACAAAATGCTGTGAGCAGCAGAAGAGAGTTAGTTGGGTCTGCCCATCTTAAAGTTTTAAGCACAGATTGTCATTTTAGAGCACTTTAAAAGGTGAATAACATTTCAGTAGGACGTTAAAAAATTTTTTTTGAGGAGATAAAAGCAGGTGGAGCAAAGCAGGAATCAGGAAGACAGTGTTCTGCCTCTGGTTTTTAAAAATGTCATGTAGTGGCTGTAAGATTGACTTGTTTTTTTCTTAACTCCTTGTAAGTGTAAGTAACTGATCTACGTAAATTTAGTTCTGAACTCTTTTGTAGTATTTTGGTAAACCTGATTTATTTTTATTCAACAGTACCCCGAGATTTCCCTTACGAAGAGGATTCAAGACCTCGCTCCCAGTCTTCCAAAGCTGCTATCCCTCCTCCCGTGTATGAGGAACAAGACAGACCCCGATCTCCCACCGGACCTGGCAACTCCTTCCTTGCCAACATGGGGTAATGGCTCTGAGTGCGCTCATCTCAGTAGCGTGAGAAGGACGAGACTCCGTGTGGAGTGTTGCCAGCCTTGTCAGTAGACGCAGCTTTTGTTGGGGAATGAGGGCGCTCCCGAGCTTATGGGGAGACACTGGTGTATTTGGTCGCAGAGCGTCCTTCTTAAGAATCAGCACTCGAGTCCTGTGGAGGGTGTTCCGGCCTGACACTGGTAGGTTTTGGACCCAACAGTAAGCCTTCTGATGTAAGTTTTGAATGACTTCGATACAGTGTTAGAGTCTATAGGTAGGAACAGTTTCTGTGATAATTACTTACATTGATTTTTATAACATTTGCGAAGAAAGTAGCTCTTACAAATTAGAGCTGACATATGCTACATCCAAAGGGCGAATGACATTTTTTTCTTGATAAAATGAGCCATTTGCTTTAAGATCATGATTCTGCAGTTTGGGTTTAAAACACTTAGTCATTCTGACTATAATTAAAATTTGTTTGCCGGCATATAAAATTCAGTTTTAAGGTTGACTTTCTGGTGGGGCTTGAGGATTTGTTTTTTGTTTTTTTGGGTTTTTTTGACCCCCACTGGATTTGGCCTGCGTTTTGGTTTAAAGAATGTTTTACAGTGTTGCCTCTGTGTGTCTCATGCTATGAGCTGTCAGTGAGGCAACATGACACTAAGGCCTCCACTCTGCCTCTGACAGGGCTGCTGTGACTACAGCAGTGACCCTGAGTGCCTGTGCTTTGACTCGGAGAGCCCCTGGAGAGAGGGCCAGGCCATGGGAATAGGCGGATGGGCCTCACGCCCTCAAGAGGGTTTTCAGCATTTGGTCTTGCTGGGATCCATCTCCTCGACCCATGCTGTTTTCTGTGGGTAATTGGTGCTTATTAAATTACTTGAAGATGAATGCACTTCCTCGGTCACAGTAGTCTCCTCTACAAGCAGCGTAGATGGAGAACATGTCCGCTCTGGCCCTAGGATGTGTGTTGAATGGGGGACAGATATGAAGCTGGTTTTTGTTCTGCTGAATTCCTTTTGAACAGGGATTAAGTGTTCCTCATGTACCCCAGGAAGGTAGAGGGTGGCGTAGCTCAGCTGTCCTCAGGCTTCTCTGCTCTAGGTTGGCTTGTTCAAGTGGAATTTGTAAGGGAAACAATGAGGTGATGCTGTTACTTGAAGCAGGGTTTTATGATTCAAGCCTTAGATAGCAGTAGTCACGGGCCCCATAGAAACCCGTGAAGCACCTGCCAGTGCAGTTCGGACGTGGGGTGCTAAGGAGGGAGCTGTGGCCTGGGAGCCGAGTTGTAGGTTCCAGTTCTGCTTGACCGTTAGCACCTCTGAAAGAATTTCTAAGTTCAGTGTCTTACTTTGCTCCTAGTCAGCCTTAAGCTGGTCAGCTAATCTGGGCCTCAACATATTTTTTCCATCTGTTAAATGGATGATCTCTAAGAGTTCTTTTGGAGCTGTCATTGGAAACTCTTTTGTACGATCTAGAAGAATGCGGTGCTTTACGTAATGTGAAAGCACACTTGTAAGTAAACCATGGTCGGAAACTGTAGAGCAGGGCTGACTCTGGGGCATGCAGGACATGCAGCGTTTTCTCACAGGGTGTGAGAGAACCTCGTAGGAAATGGGCATTTTCCTTAGCTCCGAGACGGTCTTGGGATATCCAGGATTTCAGCACTGTTTTTTTTCCATTTTTTTCATCCTGAACATCCCTGCAGCTCCTAGCGAATGACCTGTTGGTAATTCTGTGTGACCACATTGAAGCCCATGTGGGGTTTATGCTTTCTTTTTAGAAGGGAGTTGCTGTGATGTGAAACTGGTTTATGCTGTAACTGGTGACTTCAAGTCCAAGAGCTCCTTCTCTTTTCCTTCCAGTGGCACAGTAGCACATAAAATCATGCAGAAGTATGGCTTCCGGGAAGGCCAGGGTCTTGGGAAGCACGAGCAGGGACTGAGCACGGCACTGTCAGTGGAGAAGACAAGCAAGCGAGGAGGCAAGATCATTGTGGGTGACGCCACAGAGAAAGGTGGGTCTCCTCCACAGGCCGCCTTCCGGGTGGGAGCAGGGGGCGGGGCGGGCCAGCACCAGAGGACGGCCCTCTCTGGAGTCCACAAGAATTTGGGATTATGGTGCATCCCAGCTCTGTGTTGTGGACACAGACCCTCCAGAGGCTCATCTGTTTGTTTAGAACAGACCTAGAGATAGGAAGGTTCAGGGGAGAAAAGATGGGAGACCGGCAGAAAATAAACAGCGCTCAGAGAAGTGATTTCATGCTGATTTGTACTAGGCAAAGACCTTGTTAAACTGGTGAAGTCCTAGTTAGTTTTTAGGTCATGAAAGAGCCACATATAGTTTGTCCATCCTGTTAGAGTTCTTTACTTTTTCCCCTGCCCTTTCATTTTAAGTGTGATTTCTCATTTTCTTAAAGCTCCATCCCTCTGTGAGATGTAATGTTATTTCACAGTCTGTTGCTAGATGATGCCTTCCCCAAGTAGCACTTGGTGTCTTATTTTCATTTGATTATTCTGTTCTGTGCTGAGGGCATATTGGAATGAGACAGACATAACTTCCTTCCCATTTAGAGCAGAATTGAGTTTATTTTGGCGATGTTAGTTTAGCTCCCTTTCCTAAAGAAAGAAGAAAACTGTACTGCAGCCCTGTCAACACGCAGTCTGAGGAAGAAGTCAGCAATCGCCCTGATTTGGGGCCAGTGGCTGGCCAGTCCGCTGCTTGTTAGGTTGGACTAGTGACCTGTGGCCACACTGCATGTGCCACGGTTCTGATCCATAAGGTTTGTGGTCCGTGCTGTCAGCTACATGAACTGAGGAGGTGAATGAAGCGAAAATCACAGATCAGAGATGCTAAAAACTTGTAGAAATATGGCAAAAACCTGTACCAAATCGGAGCAGATACTTTCATCACACATAAGGCTACATTTTTGCTCAGAGACTGATTGCATAAAAGCTTATAGATGACTCTGAGGACATAAATAGTGGGAAGGACTCTTGAAATTAAATTAGTCATCGTAACTTGGACTCGATGTTCTAACACGCCTACATCTTAAATGTTTTGCTACAGATGCATCCAAGAAGTCAGATTCAAATCCATTAACTGAAATACTTAAGTGTCCTACCAAAGTGGTCCTCCTAAGGGTAAGAAGCAGAATGGAAACCAGTTTTCCCACCTTGATTTTTGCGTGTCTCTCCACTCCGGGCTATCTGTGCGTGCTTTCCACCCTACTGATAACGGTGACAGTTAAAGAAAGCCGAAAATGATTTGTTTTGCAAATGATCCTCCTGGATAGACTCCATTAATTAAGATTGATGTTTTAGATTCCTTTTTCACTAATGTTGTTTTTTTGCTAAGTACAGTATTTAAGACCACAGTGAGTAATTGCTTTAAAATATTTGAAATTGTTACAAGTTACTCTTTGAAGCCTAATGTATGTGTGTGTCTTTATGTTGTGTTTCTCAGAAGATTTACTTATTTCACTTGTTATTTTACAACATAAATGTATTCATGCACTTATGCTCGTTATTCACACCTGAAACACACTTACTTTTGCCTCAAGCAGTAGGTAAGCCGTGTTCAACTTGGGCATCTGTCCGTGTAGGACACTCTTTTTCAACTTCTACTGAAAGTAGCACATAAGCTTAGAAAATTTTTTTTCAGTTAGATGAGTAAATGGAGTAAGAGTGTACATCTGTACTCTCTTACGTGCCATGAGGTCATAATTTGCTTTAATTCAGCGTGTTAAAAAACGTAAATACATATTTTCATTTTGTTAAGCAATACCAATTTTTGCATACTACAAGTATGAAAATTTTCATCGTGTCATTTGGGATTGAGAACATTTGCCATCGTGAAAGAAAGTTATTCATCTCATTTATGTATTTGTAAATTATACTTGAACTAACTCATTTTTGTTCATAGAACATGGTTGGTGCAGGAGAGGTAGATGAAGACTTGGAAGCGGAAACCAAGGAAGAGTGTGAAAAATATGGCAAAGTTGGAAAATGTGTGATATTTGAAGTAAGAGGGTTTTCTTTTGATGTTTGTAACCCAAGTTGTAACTGACAGAGTACCACACATTTTCAGCAAGTAGAGACAAGGTGTGCTGTGAGTGTGTTGTTAGGACCTGACAGTGACAGATGTTCCTTAGTTACCCTTCTCTTACAGGGTTATAACAATTTTAAACATGACGACAAGAAGGACTTCAAATTTTTTTGGTGAAGAAATAAAATGTTTCATTTTATGATTGAGGTTTAATTTGGTGATTCAGGACTGTCATGTGCCCAATAGTTCAGTTAGTTGGACCTGCCTTGGGTTTCTTTCATTGGGCAAGTGTATATTTAGTGCCTCCCACATGCATTTGGGAGGCAGGAAACGTGGGCTGTGCTCTCAGTGGTGAGTTCAGTTGAAGAAACAACGAAACAAGCACATGTAAAAATAGGGTATGTGCGGTTGCTAGACTCTGTAGTAGTCACTATAAATACAGGAGTCGAGGAAAGGACTTGGTCACAAAAAATAGAGCAGTCAGATGTGCGCTGAGCTTGAAACGCATGGGTAGGATTTGGATAGGAGGAAGAGGTGTCCCGGTGGGGTCACAGCTTCTGGGAGCCTAAGGAGGGCTCCTGAGTGGCATGGTTGGGTGTGCTGGGAACGAACGGGAGGCCGGGGGGGTGCTGCTTGGAGAGCCCAGCGAGGGAATTTGAGTGAATGAGGGAGGCCGTTTGGACACAGATCTTTTCATTAAGTTTCGGATCCTGCTCCGGCCGCTCTCTTGTTTCATATTCTGTCCGATGACCGCATCATCTGTTGAGGTGTCGCTGGTGTAGGACCGCTTCAGGGTCAGAGAGCGCCCCGCTTACTGAGCTCTGCATTGCTTGCACCTAAGACAGTGCCTCTCATAGACAGATACTCAGAAAAACAACAGACGGAAACGGAGTTTTTGATGAAGAGCAAATCGTACTTACAAATCCTTGGTGTTAGACTTGTGTGATGGTAAATGCAGTACTTCCCGGACAAGGACCTGCTAAGGAAGGAAGCACGTTCAGCTACATGTCCATTGGTAACTTCACCTGTTACACTGTCATTTCTTTCTCAGATTCCTGGTGCCCCTGATGATGAAGCAGTACGAATATTTTTAGAATTTGAGAGGGTTGAATCAGCAATTAAAGGTAAGTGGCAGCACTAAGTGTCAAGAATAAGAGAATGCAATTTGTGGTCTTGAGCCTAAGAACACACTCTTGCGATGCCTTACAGGACGCCTGTACTAACTGACGCTCTCTCTGTTTGTCTTTTAGCTGTTGTTGATCTGAATGGGAGGTATTTTGGTGGACGGGTGGTAAAAGCATGTTTCTACAATTTGGATAAGTTCAGGGTCTTGGATTTGGCGGAGCAAGTCTGATTTTAAGAACTAGAGCACGAGTCATCTCCAATGATCCTTAAATGAGCTGCAGGCTGAGCAGAGAAAGAAAAGGCGTCAGCCGGCCTGGGTGGCTGCTGCATACAGAGACTCTTGGAAGGACTTCTAAGATACATGTCGATTGAACCCTTTTTTATTTTGTGGTTTTTTAAATATAGTATAAAAATCCTTTAAAAAAAAAAAAAACAGTCTGTGTGCCTCTCTGGTTGTTTTCTCTTTTTTTATTACCACTTCTGAGGTGACTACATTTTTTGCTAGGATTTCATGAGAACTCTCAAATGCTTCAGTGATACAGCATTTCTTGCACTAAAAAATCTAGAAAGTTTTGGGATATGGGGTTGTATTGTCATCCTTTGCTTTTCTTTCATTTTTTGATGCATTTTAATAAAACCTGCAAGTTATTAAACTGTAGCTTCATAAATTCTATAATAAAGCATCATCTTGGCAGTCTGCCAAAGGTGAAAATGTTTGCTTTCTCTAACAGAGAAGTTCTCATTGACTCCAGTCATAGAAAACTCTTTGTGACGTGAGCTAAGGTTGAAGAATTGCAAACCTGCCATGACTGTTTGGATAAATCCTCTTTGGTGAGGTTAGACTGTGGGGTATGTGGTGGGTGTAGGGGTAGATGGGTGTAAAAACCATGGACCTAGCACTTGTTTTCAGAGACTCTACTATAGCCTCAGTGGATGTCGGAAATGATGTGTTGATTCTAGAATTCACAGGTACGTTGTAAACGTGTGTCCAGTTGTATTTTGGAAATAGTGGCTCCTTGAGGGTCACATGTCTACTGGCAAAATTCGCAATGACGTTAGTTCTCATATGTAATTTTGAATTTATAAAATGTTGCCACATAGGCTACTTAACTTGTACTGCCAGTTGATAGAATTCTGGAATTGTGAAAAATTGTACCTTTGAAGTGTGGTGGTATATATGGCTTAAAAATGCAGCAGAACCACAAAAAACAAAACAAAACAAAACCGGATGACTATACTTGGTACTGAGGTTCACTGCCAGCCAGCACAGGACGTGTATCCAGAACATGCTGTGCCTGTGTTCTGTCCGTGCTTGCCCACGTACTGCGTGCCACTTTCCCGGGGCAGCGGCTGGAGAGTACGCGTCTGTGTTGTCTCTAGGTGATTACCACATGGAAGTGTGTTGTGACCCTGTGGAGGGAAAAGCACTCAACAATTCTTTGCATCCATGGTTTGGAGACATAAGGAATATTCTGACCCTTTTTAAAAAAGGATTTGCTCATGTTTTTATTTAACATAAATAAAAAAATAACATTTTCTCTTTTGTGCTATTATTTTACTGAGTAAAACTGAAAATTAAGACTTGGTTTTTCTGATAAAGGTGCACATATTCTATTAAATAAGTTTGGGATAAAGAATATAAGGTCCAAGAATTGCATACTTGAGTATTTTGCAGGAATAAAACCATCAGCAGCCCCGAGACTCGAGCAGGTCTTCCTGTGGAGCTGACCACCCGGACCAAATCCCGAGTGTGGAGGCTGCCTGGGGGCTCACAAGTACCTAACTGTGCTTATGCTAAGTACAGACCTTCCTCGGCTTCTCGGGTTTGCTCCAGCAAGCCCACTACAAGCTGTACATCCATTTACCTAACCTGCCCAACGGCCTGGCCTGGCCTGGCCCACCTTGAACGTGCCCCAACATTCCCGGTACCTCCAGGTGGGCAGAGTCTCCTCACATGAAGCCTGTGTGATGATCAGGTGTTTCGTGGCTCACGTCACATACCGAGGATGGCCCCGTGAGCGAAGAACGGCGCGGCGGGCCCCGCCTTCTGCTCTCCTGATTGCTGGCTCCCTGGGAGGGGTCCCTCACCGCCCAGCTACCGGAAATCCGGTGTGACCACAGGTCGCTAGCCTGGGACGAGATCCACGTTCACAGTCAAAATTCCAAGTACAGCTTCTACTGAATGTGCATCGCTTTTGCTCCGCCATGAAGTTGACAAACTGTTGAGACCATCTGTGTTTATGACGACAGCTTAATCTTCTTTAAGTGTTAAGTTCACAGCGTCTCTAATGCCTGTATAATCGTTCTGCTTTACAGTAACATCATTGTTTATTTGCATCCAGGTGGCTTTTGCCAGTGTTTTCGTAATGGACTGGGAGGAATGCAGGTGCCTTCTTACACTACTTCAGTTGTTAGCATGAGCCCAACTTAGTGTCTCTCCCCCCAACCTCTCTGATTATTTCTTCTGAAATTTTCCATGACCGCATTAGTCACCTAGTGTGTTACTGGAAGTGAATTTTTGTGTTTCTAAGTCACCTGCAAGATGGTGCTTAAGAACTTTGAAGTTAATTCCAATACTAGCCGCAAGGTCAAAATTTCCATATAAATTTTAAAAATCAGTGAAGCTGTGTTATAATTATGTTCAGCATAATAGACCTTTGTCACTCCTGGTCCACCTGTGATCAGCGAGCCCCTCCTGTGTTCAGGGAGTCGCCTGCATCCACCTCCCGTGACCCTAAGGTCACGACCAGAAACTTGCTTTCCCAGCCTGTCTTGCAGCTGGGGCACCGTCCTCGCCCTGGCGGGGGCAGGCCCAGCGTTGTGTGGCCTTGGGGGCAGCTGCGGCAGAGAGCTTGTCGTGTTGGAGTAGCCCGTGCTGTGTGGGCCACTTGTGTGGCAGGGCAGGGTCTGGAGCAGTTTCGAGGTGTGGTTTGGCAGTGTTCTTGCTCTATTTAAACCTCTGAGCGTGACTGGGGCCAGTCCTGCTAGTTTCCTGTGTAGGTGGGTTTTTGCTTTTGTTTTGTAAATTCCTTTTCTTCCTAAGGCAGAGTGTGTTTGCTCAGTGGCAGCTCGGAGCGGCAGACCGGTAAACCAGTTACTACTCTCTGGAATGCAAATGACCTTAAATGATGGGGGAGCTGGGACAGGACTAGGGAGGATTCCCTAGGCTAGGTTAGTTGGTGGTAAAGTATCTAGCCAAGCGGTTTCTGTGCTCTAGCGTATGGACGGACTGCTGTGAGGGGCAACGGGAGGGAAACCACAGAGCACGAGCACGGGTTGGTCACTTCTTAGGCAGCTGTGATGCTGGTACCAGGCTGTGTGGGTTCAAACCCTGGTTCTGCTTGCTTGGTGTGTGACCAGGTGTCTCACCGGAAATGGAAATGATAATCACACCTACTTAGGGTTGGTAGGAAGATTAAGTCAGTCCTCCGAGGAAAGCAGTATCCCAGAAGTGTGGCGTCATTGCAAGCTGCCAGGTCCTGCAGAAGAACGAGGACGCCGGCCTCCCGAGAGTCTGGTTCAAAAGCAAGAGTGAAGAAGAGAACCCGGCCTCGTGGAAGGCTCCCGTGCTCCCGGCCTGCTTCTCCGTCCACTGAGTTCCGAGGTAGAGCCCGGCTGGTGCAGGGAAACCTCCCGTCCCTGAAGCTACACCAGCGGCCCCAGCTGTAGCCCTCGCCAGACTTGGGACTGGGGAGTGTAGTGCTGCAGAAGCGGAACTAAACTGTAGTCCTGCAAAAAACGCTACTGGCCCACCAGAAAGGATGTTTCTGATTGCTTGAGGCAACAGCCTTAATTACTAGGTAAGGGAGAGGCCTGGACACGCCCCCACCCCCACCCCACAGACCAGCTGCTGTAAGACAGTGCTCCGGTGAGACCCTCTAGGTGAGCTCGTGGTCAGGTTTGCTCAGGCGCGGGACAGGCAGCCACCCACATCCTGTCCTGCTTTGTATGTCAGGTCCTCTGTCCAGGGCAAGTCCCCGGGCTTTGTAGCTGCAGGTGTATACCAAGTCGGGCCCCATTTGGATAGGATGGAAAAAACTGCCTTTCAGTCCCAAGATTTGGGCTGGAATCAGTCGCTGGAAGAGACTTGGTGTCGTCTCTGGGTCAGGGGTGAATGAATGCCTTCATGTGTTTCTGTGGGGAGAACAATGAGTATTTGGGGGGAGCCAAAGACGTCGACTGGTAGCACTCCATATGCCAGTACCTATCCCCAAACTTCTATCTTAGGCCTCTTTCAAAGGCTGGAAAAGTTAAATTCTTACCTGGAGCCAGGGGCAGCCAGGCGGCGGTTCTGGCCTGTGAGCTCCAAGTGGGCATGGACGGTGCATTTTGATAGTTTCAGAAATGCCTTTATTTGCCCGGTGGGGCCATGGCAGCCGGCTAGCCCAGGAGATCACCAGTGTGCCAGGGAGGGTGCAGAGGAGAGGCCTGGTCACCTCCATGACGTGTCACTTTTCAGGGTTTCTGTACACCTGTTTCTGTATTGCCTGAAGGTGCATTCACGTCTTGCTGGTGCAATCTGTTCCCAAAATGTGTGTGATATTTTTGAAAATGAGAATTTTTTTTGCAGATTTTTAATCTGCAAATAATTAAAAATCACGTCTTAGTATAAAACCTTGTAGACTCTTCTCAGTTTGCTCTTCCTAGAAGCAGTCCCTGGCTAAACTGAAGGAGAATTTAGTTCTTCACTTTGTTTCAACAAGCATTTCTTTGTCCGTTACTGGGTACAGATACAGATTTTAGCACTGGGATGAAGAAATGAACACAGTGGTTATCCTCGCTTTCAGAGAGTTCATAGTTTATCTCAGAGACAGGCACACAAAGACAAAACAGTGCAAGGTGAGCGGTGCTGAGATAAGATGATGTTATTCGACTTGAGTACTTTGAGGTTAATGACGTTGTCCTCTCTGGTCCCAGCATCCAGCACGTATCTGGTAAACAATAAAGTGGCAGTAAATTTGCTGACTCTGAGGCTACAGATCACAGATGACTGAGCAGATCTCTTAGGAGTGGCAGAGTCTGACACTACAGTTAAAGAAGAGGTGACTTGAGCCATAGATCTTGAAGGATGAGGCATGACTGCCCTGTGGAAAGGCAAGAGGACAGCTTCCCAGACAACTGCAGGGGAAGGACAGAAGTGATGGTGCATTGTGGCCTTCTGACCTTGAGCTAGGAATCCTCTAATCCCAGCTGGATCACTTACTGCTCTCCCAGTTTTCTTCAACTTTTTATTTTAGACGCACAGAATTACTGTGACAGCAGTACAGAGTTCCCTTGTGCACTCCCGTATACATTCATATCTAACATGGTACATTTGTCACAATTAGCAATATTGATGGGTTCTTATATTCTTTAGAGAATATATTATTATAAATTATTAATATATAATTTGTTCAGATTTTTTTAAGTTTTTACCTAAAATCCTTTCTCTGTTTTAGGATCCCATTCAGATACTACTTTCCATTTAGCCCTGTCTTCTTCAGCTCCTCCTGGTTGTGACAGTTTCTTAGACTTTCCTTGTTTTTGATGACTGTGACAGTTGACTACTGGTCAAGTATTTTGTAAACAGTCATCAGTTGGCATTTATCTGATGTTTTTCACATGGTTAGACTTGGGTGATTTGGGGAGTAGGTGGGGGAAGAAGACCACAGAGCTGTAATGCCATTTTCATCTCCTGTCAAGGGTATGTACTATGAACATGACCTGTCACTATTGTTTATCTCAGTCA